AGAAAACTTGGAAAGGAACTCTAGATACATATACACACAAATACACACACACACACATAAAATCACAAAGTTTAGCTGCATTTTTTTTCCAAATGGGTTTTGCTTGCTGGCAGCAAGCTGCAACTCTTTTAAGAGAGGTTTTCCTGATTCATTGGTAGCAGAGAAAAAGCCATGCCATTTTGAAATGCTGACTTTCTGGGCCATGCCGCTAGACTGACTTCTTGCTCTTTCAGGATACTGAGCATTTGAATGGGGTTTGTGAGCAATGTGCTACAGCTTGCTCTGTGGCAACATAGACCTGATATGTACCTAGAGATAGAGCACTGTGCATAGCTCTCGGAGGTGGCAAGTAACTCTACCATGATGAACAGGGTGGGGCAAGCAGGTAGTGCCACATTTCCCCTAGCAATGGCGCTGCTTAAGTAAGTTCATAAGAAGGGCTTAGCGTTTTAAGAATCACAATACAAAGATACACAATAAAGACAAATTCAGATGAAAAAGAACTCTAAATAGGTCACAGTGTTGGATAAATGTACATAGGCTTGGGAGAGAGAAGAAAAAGAGTGTAGAGAGTTGGAAAAGAAGTAAATTGTTAAAAAAACAAATAAAACAATGTCTTTAAAGAGACAGAGTACAGACAGTCATAAATTAAAGGAGTAAAGATAATAAAAAATATTAAAAAGTAATAGAGTAAAAACAAGCCATGTAAAGATGAAATACACACAGAGAGTCTGGATTATGTATATTCTATATTAAAAATATATTTAATTTTTTTGACTGTGAGGGAGCTAAGTAACCAACATGTATACTTTAAAGGTATTTTGTCTTCAAAATATGGATCTAAGGATATGTTGCTTTGGACAAAAGGTTCTTCTTTTGTTTCCACAGAAGATGAGAACCTGTGGATTAACTCCAGACTAATGTGGTTTGATGCATCAAGATCCCCTGAAAGGCTGTCATGAACACCCCAAAAAATAACTCACTCAATAAATATCAGGAAGCAGTTTGGAGCAGAACTACACCCATATTCCCAAATATTGTTTTAAAATGTTTGTTTACATTTAAAGGGAGATATGCTATAGAGATTTGCATTGGTGTGGATCTTGGTTTATTGATACAAATGTAAGGTCAATTTTATTATACTGTATATATATATATATATATATATATATATCTGCTCTAGATTAAGGTATTGTGATTATGTAGTTCATTTTAAAATGTAATGTATAATTAAGGAATACAGGTTAATAGGTAGTCATCTCTAACAGTCAAGCTTGTAGTTATATTAGTTAGGTTTTCTAGATATACAGAGATGCAGTTTAGATAGTTAGGTATTCTTCAAATCTTTCAGAGACCTTCAGAATATGGCATTTAAAATGTTTTAAGGACTTAGGACTTTTCATGACAGTGAGACACATATGCTCCTGACAGCTCCAATCTACTTCAAGAGGAAGATTGGAATTGAAGACACTCCTTATGGAGTTTGCTAGTTGGGCAAAAAACTGCTCTTGCCTGGACTGCTTGATGTTATGCTGTGTGAACTGGACATGCAGGACCCAAAGAGAAATGACTGCCAAACTTGCCTAAAAGTGAGATGATTTTTGGGGGTTTCTGCTTTATGAAAGAGTCTGCAGACATTCTGCAGGACACAGAAGAAAGTGACTAACATACCTCCTATATAGGTAGAACTGTCTTTGAAATTTCCTGCTTCATGGAAAAGTCTGCTGGATACTATGAGTCTGTGGTTTGAAGATTGGATGCTCCAATGTATGGAAGAACTTTGGGTGACTGTCCAGGCAGCAAGATGTCTCTGTCAATTCTAGAGTTTTGGAAGTTGATTACAATGCACTTTCTGTTTACTTAGGTAATATTTTATCCTTCTGGAGTCTTTGATGGAGTTGAAGAATAAATAGTTATAATTATAGTTTTCCTTAGTTATGATAAAAGATAATGTAGAAATAAATATTATAACTGTAATTCTTGCTTGATACCTGTTTTGTTATATGTAATTTACTGTGCTGAAGTTAAAACTTTCCTTTTTATTTAAACAGAAAAGGGGAGGTGATGTGAGATTCCTTTCGGTATGCTATGATTACTATTAATGAATAAAGAAAGCCTAATAGGGTAGAGCAGAGTTAGGCAAAGAAAACTAAACTGAATAATGGGAGGTAGAAGGAGGAGTAGGAGAGAAGTCATGGAACCACCGCTGGAGACAGATGCACTGAAACTTTGCTTGTAGGCCACAACCTTGTGGTGATGCACAGATTAATGGAGATAGGTTAAATTAATATGTAAGAGTTATCCAATAAGAAGCTAGAGCTAATGGGTCAAGCAGTGATTTAAATAATATGGTTTCTTCGTGATTATTTCGGGTCTGAGCTGCTGGGAACAAATGAGAGGCCTCCTTACACCACCAGCACTCAAGAGGCAGAAACAGGTGGAGCTCTAAGTGTGAGGCCAGCCTGGTAGACAGTTCCAGGACAGCCAGGCTACACAGGGAAACCCTATCTCAAACAAAACAAAACAAAACAAAACAAAAAGTATGTAATTGGAGTTTTTAATGTATAGAAGCACATAAAGAGGGATAGAGAGATGGTTCCATGGGTTCAGATGGTTCATGTGTTTGCACAGAGACCTGAATATGGATTCCTGGGGTAAGGATCAGGTATTATAGCAGGTGTTTGTAAATCCAGTGCTGTGGGGATGAGAAAGGCACATCCCATGTGCTAACTGGCCAGCCAACATGGACAAAGTAGTGAGCTTTGGGTTTAGTAAGAGAGCCTATCACAAATAGATAGATAGATAGATAAATAGATAGATAGATAGATAGACAGACAGACAGACAGATAGAGAGCAATAGAAGAGCATTGGAAGGAGGCATCTAGTGGCCACCCCTCTCCTCCACACCTGGGTGAGTGCACCCATAAACAGGCTCACTTCCTATGCATTGTCTGCTTTTAGATCACACATACACAAATTAATTGACAGACTAACTAATTACATAATAAAAAGACTCGTAAAGGGTTGGGTTCTGGGGACAAGTTGGCAGGGGGAAAGGAGAAGTTCTCTCTGGTCTCTGAATTGCATGGGATCTACCCACAGATCTGCTCTCAGGGATCCTGAACATAGCCCAAGTCTCTGGTAAACACTTTTGCCTTCTGTGCTCCCATCCTGGTCCCTTTCTCAGAGGCACCATCTGTCCTGTACACAGACCTTCCCATCTCAGAACAACCTCCACCACATCTTCCTTAGCCGGACATTTCACCAGCTTTACTCCTTGCCTTCTGGTCTTGATATAATTTCTTAGGGGTTCTTTGTTTGTTTGGTTTGGGTTTTTTTTTCCCTGTTCACAGGATCAAATCTACCGTTCTTCCTGGAAGTGGATTTCCTGTTATCTTTAACAAATGTTTGAAGGGAAAGTATCTCCTCAAATACAGCTGCTTGAAGCCTTCTTCAAGCAGCTTTGTCATGCATTTGGAATTTAACCTTCCACCTAGATGAGAATTTCTCTTTCTTGTACATGGTCAATCTTCTCTTCTATTCTGGATACTTGGTGCTATGGATCTTCCTGTTCCCAGAAACTTACGATAGTATCTGACTCCACAGTAGATACTCAGTGTCCTATCAATCAATGAATAACATAATCAATAGGTCATAGGGCCCTGATCTTCTCAGGGTCCCGGCTTCTCCTGATGTACTCCTGTATCAAGCATGCCCTCTTGTTCCTTGGGTCCTCTCTCTTCTCCCTCCACATTTCTGCACTCTGACTTGTCCGGTGGAAAGTATTTTATGGAAACTAGAAGGGGAGGAGTGGGGTGAAAGTGTGTGCCCTCCTGTTTTCTCTTCCCCTGCATTGAGAAGAAGGGAGCAGTTTCCTTCCCGCGTTCTTTCATGCTAACTATCTCTCCTTCCATCCTTGAAAGAAACGAGACCTGGTGCTTTTCTTATTGCTGTGGTCAAATATCCAACAAGAAACAACTTAAGAGAAAGAGCAGTTATTTAGATGCATAGGTCAAGGAAATAAAATCCATAATGTTGAGAAAGGCACTGCAGCAGCAGTGTGACAAAGCAGGTCAGGAAGCTGATGATAGACAGGAAGTGGGGTGGGGCTAGATGGTCTTAAGGCCGTCTTCCACTCCACCGTCCAATTTCCTGCAGCAAGGCTCCAACCCTAAGGTTTTACAGCCTTCCAATGCAACACCACCAGTTATGGGCTAACCGTCCAAAACATGAGTCTGTGGGGGATATTTTCTACTAAAATCACAACAGACATGAACCAAATCACCTGATCTAAGGGGTGGGGATGTGGCTCAGTGGTAGATGTATGTCCAAAGCCCTCCATTACTTTGGCAGAGTCTTCTACACCCGCTCCTTGCTCCTGTGAACAGATGGAGAATATCTTCCCCAGAATGTGCCGTCTGTTTTATGTTAAAACATGCTGGCTTTGTCAGATACAAAAATATTGGAAAACTTTACACATCTTAAAATATTGGTCAAGAACTGAAATATTTGCAGTGCATGGTATTTTTACACAAATATGCTATTTTTACTAAAATAAGTTTTGTATTTGAGGAGGTATAAAATGCCCTCCCTCCTAATCTCCTCTGCTAGCAGAAAAGGAGGACTGTAAACCAATCTCTGCCTATCTGGAAAAGGCCCTGCAAGAGCCAGGATCCCTACAAGAGCATCAGAATTTCGGAGGATCAACAATGTACATGCTAAACACATTCTGTGTGGTGTTCATGGCTTTTATGACATTTTTTTCCCTGTGGGTTTCATATACTTGATTTATTGCTTATGCTTTAGCATGTTTACATTTTTAACTGTTCTTTGGGGGCAATAAAATGTCTTTTGGAACTTTCAGAATGTACTCTGAAATTTATATTTTTGGAAAAACTCATTTAGGGGTTCTGTCTGGAAGTCAAGAGGGAGGCGGTAGGATGATGGCATAGAGTTAAAGTGAAATATTGTGTGTTTGAGTTTTTACTCTCTCTTTGTAGATGTGTTGGTGGATACTATGCATGATTCTCAGATCCACAGAGACATGGTGATGGAAGCAGCCTCAGAACTGAAGATCTTGTAGACAAAGGCACTACTATCCCTCTGCCCTGAGCAGGGCTACACTGTCCCCAGCAATCTCTCCAGGGACATCAAAGCATATGAAGTAAGCCATTCATAGACCTTCCAAGTCTGGAGTTTTGTATCCTGGTGTCATCACCAAAGAGAAAGCAAAGGAGGAAAGAAGGGATGAAGGGAGGGGAGGAAGAAGAGAGGAAGGGGAGCTGGAGAGAACGGGAAACAGGAAGGGACTCTTCAGTTATTCATCTTGGCCTAGATCAAATTTTTTTGACCTACATCCATAAATGTTTGGTATGAAAAATATAAAGGTCTATCTCTCTTGATTCTGGTACTATCTCCTTTTTAAAACTTTTGATGAGGGGCTCAGGATGGAGTTTAGTGGGCAGAGTACTTGTCTGGCATGCAAAGAACCTTAGGTTTGATCCCCAGTGCTGATGAATGCCATCAGCTACAGAACTCACAGGGAGAGGCGTGGTTGAGGAGGAGATTTGGGTCAAGTCATTCTTGGCTTCATAGTGAGTTAAAAGTCAGTAGGGCAACTTCTGGTAAGATTGATCAAAATACCTACTGAGACCTGTACTGATTGGCTTCTGTCAATGTGACACATCTGGACATATCTGGAAAGAAGAAACGTCAACTAAGGAAATGTCTCCATCCTATTGGCCCGTAGGACAGCTGTGGGACGTTCTCTTGCATGATGATCGAAGTGGGAAGCAGTCCACTTTGGATGGTGCCACCCTTGTGCAGATTTCCTGGGAGGCAGAAGAAACGTAGCTGCACATGAGCCTGAGAGCAAGGCAGTAAGCAGCTTTTCTCCTTGGCCTCTGTTTCAGTTCCTGCCCCCAACTTCCTGCCTTTAGTTCCTGCCCTGGTTTCCCCTCATGATAAAGTCTAAGCTGAAGACAAATAAATGAACGCCATCTTCACAAAGTTGCTTTGAGTTGTGGTGTTTATCACAGCAGTAGAAATCAAACTAAGATGAGATTGAAACTTGATATTCTCCCTCATCAACCTTGCTCTCTTACCTTCTCCTCCACAGGCACTGTGTAATGTGCTCTTCATCCTTAGACACAGTTCTAATGATCCAACCAGTGGCTTGCAAGGGATCAAAACAGCCTCCCATTTGGGGCCGTCCAGGACTGAATTAGGACCCACCCACTGGAGCAAGATCTGTTTTCTACTTAAGTTTTTACTTCTTGATAAAGAATAGTGTGAATAGGAGGTGATTTAATATCCCATAAATGAATCAAATGGGCTGTCAAGGCACCTGTCTTGTTCTAGTTGGTTAGTTCCATGAGTCCTAAACTGAGGAGGCTAGATATTTTTTAAACAAATAATAGTCTGGGCATCCAGCCTACAGAATTTTTCCAAAAAGACCTAAGATAATTTGGCAAATTTCACACCAGTAATAAGTAAGAAATCATGGGAATTGCAAAATGGAAAAGGAAAAGGGATGTAATGTATTGTTCTTACAAAAATCCAAGCGAAGAGCCTGGGAGACAGCTCAGGTGATAAACCACTTGCCATGTAACATGAGGACCAGAGTTCAGATCCCCAAACTTTCACAAAATCTATGTATGGCAGAAGGTTCCTGTAATCCCAGTGCTGAGGGTGGGAGGAGAGACAGGCCCATCTTTGAGGTTCACTGTTCAATCTCTCCATCAGAATTAGAGAATTTCAAGTTCTATGAGAGATTCTCTAAAATGTAAGGTAGCAAATATTTGAGAAAAATGCCCGGTCTTAACCTCTGGCCTCTAAACACACACACACACACATACTACATGCATACACACATACACAGGCATCCACATACACACTATATGTATACACACACACTATATGCACACACACAGAGATGCATACAGGTATGAACACCCACACAGGCATGCACATACACTATATGCATCACAGACACACACAGACATGCACACACACACAAAGAGACAAATACAGGCATGAACACCTACACAGGCATGCACATACACTATATGCACCATGTACACACATACTGTATGCATACACACTACATGCACACATGAACACACACGTACAGCACACATGCAAACAAGTGAAGGCATAATTTACATTTCTCTTTTTCACATGATTGTCTAGTACAAGATTCTAAAAGGTTTGTAAGGCCTAGTGAAAGTGGTATCCTAGCTTGTTTGCTGTGATAAAACACTGGCCATGAGCAACTTAGGAAAGAAAGGGTGTATTGGCTTACAGGTCCTGATCACAGCCTAGAATGCTGGGGAAAGTCAGGGTGGGAACTCGGGCAGGAACAGAGAAAAGAACCATGGAGGAAAGTGAGTTGCTGGTTGATCTCCATGCCCTGATCTGCCTGCATTTTATAGATACAACCCAGAACCACATTGAAGAGGTGGCACCACCCACAACGGGCTGAGCCCTTCCACATGATAATTAATCAAGACAATATTCCCACAAACTTCCCTACAGGCCATTCTGATGGAGGAGGAGGCACTTTCTCAGCTGAGGTTCCCTCTTCCCAGATGACCTTAGCTTTGGTCAAGTCTACAAAAAAAATAGACGCTCCTGTGGAAACCATGATGTGACTAGGCCTTCAAAGCCACGTCAGCAGTGACCACCATCTTGTCATTGACCCTTTAACAACATGATAGGACAAGGCCTTCATGGTTGAGCATTATCAGTTTCTGATGATGAAAATGTCTCCCTCTCCCGCAATAATGGTAAAATTGGGATATGGCTTGCAATTCTGAGAAATGTAAGACATTTAACTATCTTCTGTAGAGCAGCTTATTACTGTTACAGCCCACTGTGTCAAAGAGCACACCAGCAATCATTTAAACCCTGGGAAGCTTGTTTAACTTACAGCCTGGGGAAAGATGTTAAGTCTTAAAGAAGGGAGCCAAGAAACTGCTTAGTCCCGTTATTATTAGCTGACCTGAAAGTTTCTGGCCAGTTTACAAGACTTGAAAATTTTCAAATTGGATTTATATATGTTTGTTATACAATAATCAGAAAAATCAAAGTGGAAGGGCCTGAAGAAAGACTGTGCTATTAAAGATATTTTTGGAAAGTCTGTTTTGCCACTAGAGCCATGGCAGTCTTGGGATATTGCAGTCTGATGCTATTGAAGGCTGCTGTAGAATCAGCAAGCTGCTTCTCCATGACTCACCTTCAGCAAATTTTAGGAAGGGACAGTGGTTCATTGTGGTATAAAAAGGATAAAAAGAGGAGCGTTTCCTAGGTAGGTTTCTGTCCTAGTAACCAGGGACCCAAGGAATGAGCCATCTGGTCCCTTTTGTCAACTTCCTGCCTTTATCAGAGGAAATGAAATGTGTCCTTGTGACCTTTCAATCCCAGATAAACAGTATCGAGAAAACTGTCAAAATCATGCAGCATGAGTAATGCTTATATTTCTTGCACATATTTTTTTTCGAATTCTTCTAGGCATGTCACTGATTTGTAAAACCGCAAACAACCCCAATTCAAGTGACTGTTGATGATGGATGGTGACAACCACTTACTGAAGGCTAACACTCACTGTGGGCCAGAAACTGGTTTATCCATTTGGCACATATGTTATCTCAGCACCGCCTGGAAGGATTCACAGAGGAAAAGGGGGAGCCATACAGCCCATTGTCTCCTTTTCCTTCTCGGAAGGTACCATTGACAATCTTCTGCAGGCATGTGTCAACTTTGCTGTTGTTGTTTGAGACAGGGTTTCCCTGGCCTCAAACCCATGGTGGTCCTTCTGCCTTAGCTTCTCAGAGCACCATATCCTGCTCATGTCATGACTCTATGAGAGAGCAGTGACGCTGGCCCATCCTTCCATGCCAGCAATGGTGCTTTCTGACCTGTGATCTCTTGAATGTGACACAGATGAACCCAATCCATCACAGTTTTCCAACACAACAGTGTCGTCAGAGATATATACAGCCAATTGAAACCATGCTCCAAATTTTGAATATTGAACGTTCACCCAACTAGCAAGAGGCAGAGCCTCACAGTTAGGCAATGCTGAGTACCCACAGAAGTTTCTAGCTGGTCATGCCATTTTAAGAAGGAACAACCATGACTTTATACAGCCAACTGTACTGGTAAGGTGGCATATTTACCAAGGTCAGTGATTAAATGTATTTTTTGTTCATATTTTCAAGTCATAATGGGTTTATTTGGAAATACATTGAGGAACATTTTTCTATGCATGTAGTTGTGAATAAAACAAATTAAATTATAGAGACCTTGATATTGATGAACATATGCAAAAAAATGGGCAAAAGTGCTATAATGAAAGAGTTTCACCCACGCAGAAGACACAAGAGTGCTTAACAAGGAGGAACTTGTGTTTACTAGGGGCACCCTGCCAAGGCTGTTTGCATCCTGCCAACAGTTGAAACATACATATTTTGACCTCATTTTACCAGTGAGGAGGCCCAGGATACAGATAGGAATCTGGCACCAAGTCCCATGGCCATGTATGAGCTAGAGCAAACCTAACTCACTCGAATTATCAATTTCCTTATCACAACAACAGCCCCATTTCCGGCTTCCCACAGCTGGTTTGTTATTGTTCTTAGAGCTGTTGTCATTTCCTGTTCCCATTTTCACAAGGATGCTTTCAGGAAAAAGCCTCTCAGGCAAGATCAACCCATCCTCTTCAAATTCTCTCCAAATGGTATAGGTTGGCTTCACTCTGTGCCATGCGGCCCTCAGACTTGGATGTCACTGAAATAAATCATCTCATAACCTTAAGAACACTTCCCAGGCTGAGCTCCCACTCACGGGCATTCTGATTTTGTGAATACATGTTAGGAACTGGGACTCCGTGGACACCAAGGCTCCCCAGGTGATGCTAACGCACCCAGAGCTTGGGAAATGCTGCTGTCTGAATTGTTCAGGCTTCTCTTGGGCTGGACCTCCGATGCTCCTTGTCCCTGCTGTCAGACTGTGTGATCTCTTCCTCTTTCTTCCAGATGGATGAAGTGCTTCTGTCTATCCATTACGGTGTTAGCCTTGGTCATGGTAAAAAATCATGCAGAAATTCTTGGGGATGTTCACGTTCAAGTTCCCAACTTCTCCAACACCCGGTCCTTTCACATTCTGCCTCCTTTGAGCTATGGATGTCCTTCACTTTGCCTAGGTTGCCTCTTGATTGGTCATGCTTGCTTGTTTCCCAGTGATCACAGCATCCTCCAACTTCAAGTCCAAGTTCGTCTCTCTACTCGCCACATTCTAGATTTCCAGATCCCTTGCTTTGTAGGTGACTCCACCAATGACCCAGCTGTTGTGGCCTCTGATTTTCCTACCTCCTCTTCACGGTACTTTGCTAACAGCCTCCTTAGCTAGTCCAGATTCTTATGTTTTCTGATAGAATTGCTTATGTTCAGTCTACTCATTCTCTACTCTCTTGCCGCTGCCCCTCCTCCACATCCTCTGGAAACCCCAAACTTAATTATACCCACCCATGCTCACTGGGCTCATTTTTATGATTCTTAGCCTCAAATGGCCCACAAATGCATCCAGAAGATTCTACACATTTGTTCTCATGCATTTGTCATCCTAGCTCCTTGCTCTGAGATGATGACCTAGATTTTCACTCTTCTGCAAAGATAATGGATTTGGAGAGAACATTCAAGAATCTACCACAATTTATGACAGACTTCACATGTGCTCAGGAATTTGATTTCATCTTCTATTCCATGCAGTACCCTCCTACACTTACCTGCATCGCCTCCTTCCCTTACATACTATATTCTACACTTCTCCCTTGCTTATGGTAACACCTGTCTCCCTGGAGATTATTCCAGTCAGTAAACAAATATGCTGGTCGGGCAGCAGTTCCTACTAAGGGAAGAAACTTTCCCCAGGTCTTGCATCTGTCTGTATCCACTGACTCCACTCCCACCCCTTCTTGTCTTTACTGAAAGGAAGAAAG